CATACCCACTTTTGGCTGGACCAGAACATTACAGAAAATTTCAGTTCATTTAACACAAAGTTATACTCATCTTCCTGTATTTAGTAACGGCTGTTGAAAAATGTGTTCTATACTAGATTTAAAGATAAATAAAAGATAAAACTGTTGGTTTCATCAGTTTTCCTGCACAACACGCATTCGTACTGATGCACCTGCTGCAGAGTTACAGTCCATGAACACTTGAATTCTGTGTAATTGTCAACGAGCATTTGTTGCATCAGTCACTAGAGCCGTTTTGGAGCTTCAAATTCTAATGATGGGAGGAACTATACTGACAGCTTCTGTGGTTTTGTGTCACATTTTATGAGGATTAGCAGTTTAATCTCACATCACCATCTCACTGCACCTTTCAGTGTTTTTCAGAGGGTGTAGGGATGCTGCACAGCCTATAGCTTTTCTTTATGGTACACAGGCCAAACTAACACTCCAGTAGCACTATTTTTTAAAGGGAAGGATTGAACGAAAGCAAAACCAAATTCATAAAAATGTTTCTCCATCTTTTTACATTTTATTTCTGTCCATGTGTATGTGGTGTGTATGGACAACTGTGGTTTATGATGTTCGGATGGCCTTTATCTGGTTCAGTTGGACCCAGTGACTTGTGTGTATATGTGTATGTGTGTTTGTGTGTGTACATGTTACTGTCAGCACTCTGTTAAATATTTGTTCAGTTCTTGTACAACAGAACATTGAACAAACCTGCATTGTTCACTTTGACGGTCGTCGTGTTCTTTCTTACTCCTCTTCTTATGCTTCCTCTCCTCTTTCTGCTGCATCTCTGTGTACTCTGTGCCTATTTCTTGTCTGTCAGACATCAAGAGAAGAGCCAGAGAGCGAGAAAACAGTTTGTTTTAGCTGAATTATCGGTATGATGCTGCAGGAAGTGGTAACATCAGTTGCTATCATTTTCCTTCAGGAAATGACACACTAGCCTGCCCAACCTCGCCTCCACACACACACACACAGTAAGTGACATATTTATGAGGCACATTTACCCACTTACGCTCATCACTGCATACACAGCATGTTTTCAGTCAGCGTTCCTCTCCTCTCCTCTACAATACTCAATACTCAAGCAATTTCAAATGCTGCAATGCCAACACAACCCCTAATACCTGATAATTGTGTTGATGTATATGTAATTCCCTGCAGTAGCTAGTATGCTACTGCAGGGAATCAGCTTTTATAGTCGACATGGTTTCCATCTCCACACCCTGTCAAATTATGTGGGATTCAAGTCTATTGTCTGAGTAACTTGGTGTCAGTAGAGGCAGCTCTATTTTCACACTCTCAGAAACACATACAGTATATCCAAACACAACAGGATCACTTCATCAAACTGTACACAAGACTTGTCTTAGGCTGTTGTGAGAGGGAAGTGGAGCTGTGACTGATAACCACAATAAGCTACTGTAATCAGTTTTTCTTTGAAGAAATGTAAGGCTAGATGTATTTGTGCAGCTGTATGTGGATTGTGTTGTCTCTTCCTAGAAGTGTGAATCAGAATGTAACGGTTTGACAACACTTACTTACTGTTGGGAATTGTGAAACTGTAAAGAAAATATATGTCAGCATTTTCATGGATTATGATCATTATTATAACCTTTGTTTTATAAAGAACTCTTATTGAGATCAAGATCTCTTTTGAAAGTGAAGCTTGAGTACAGCGGAAGAAATTAGTGCAGAGATAAGACACACAACAAACATAACCAGTCACCCACACACACACACACA